GTGCTTGTCAAAGAGACTGTGTATGCACAGACTGGTGGGTGTGMTATTAAATAACCTCACTGGTAACACAAATACAGGGTTGGGCTGGACTCAGTGCGCTGAAGATTAGTCTGTGGTACACCACGTGGTGCTTGGTGCAGTAGATAAGCTCAGAGAAGGCGGAAGAAGAAAAACTGTTACACCTCTTCATGAGTTCTGGGGACTGCCATAAAGTACATCAGATTTATCGCAGCAACTTCAGGATTGCTGTAATCTGTACCTCTGAAAAATTGCTCCGAACAAGCCACTTGAATGAACAATTTGTTCATTTGTCTTGTGTCTCTCCCCCTCCCACTTCAATATGTTCCTTCCTCCTTTAGCATGCCTCCTGGCTGGAATGCCAGGGCAGGGAGAACTGGCAGAGGGCTGGCAGATGAGGGCTGGCAGATCCCCCACTTCTGTAGGACATTTTGAGTAGACTATTGGTGTGGAAAGAGCTTAATATCAATGTTACTAAAACACATTTTTATCTCTTTGACATGCTAGCACTGAGATACCAAAGCTTACTACAAAAGACACCAGGTTCCCCAATCAGCTGACAGGTATTTTTCAGTGGGAATTTCATAACTCTATCACCTAGCTGACATTGAAGAAGTCAGCTTGCTAGAAACATTTTGATAAGGAAGTGAAGCAATTGCAGTGCCTGCCTGATAGAGAGGAGAGAGCAGGAGGGTGGCCAAATTGTGGTCTGACATCAGAGTTGCATAACTGCAAGTAACAACATGGCATTCCTRAAAAATCAATTTCTAGGTTAATGAACATGTCCCACTGACCAATCAGCTTATACAGGAAAGCATAGTGTTGATGCTGAATTTAGTAATAATACCCAGAGCCTGAGATAAATGACCTACAATCTGTCCTGCTTTCATCAAGGGATAAATTCCAWACTCCTATCATGCAACAATATGACATTTTGTACATCAAAAAGAAAAGGCTATATATAGGACATTGCAAAATGTATTTTTTAACTTGCAGCTTTAATTAATGCTTGATGTTACATAAACAATCTTCAAACCATGTGGGACTATTACATTCACTGTGGTTCTGCTCCTTAGGCAAAGAGACCAGAGAATACTACATCATTTAAGTCTGCAGTAGTCTTTTTCCCTTTGAGAAACCAGTACCTTGTGTGCTTCAGAGAATAAACTTGAAGTTGCCAGAGAAGGCTGTTGGGACAAATATAGATTTCTTCCCACCTTAAAATCTTCCACCAGTGCTCAAAGTGCAAGTCTGTGAGAAGTTGTGGGGTCCAACAAGACCTTGCTGGACATCTGCAGCCAAATTCCTGCAAGGTTCATGCTTGAACCAGCCTTGACCCCGGCAGGATCTTCAGTGACTGCTTTGAGCCACAGCTGGTACCCTTCTCTTGTTCTTCCATGGTCCTGGAAATTGGGGGAAGAACCTACATGACCCCAGTGTGACGTAAATTGCTAGGGCCAGAAGGCTTGAAACGGAGGGAGGAGGATGAGACTAACACTGTAGCTTCATGATTGCTTTAAGCTGCCATAAGCTGGCTCTGTGGCTGGGAGAAGCCATTCTAGCTCTCATTTCCCTGGTCAGATATTTCTGCTCTCTTCCTCATCTGCCCACAATTAATCCTTTATCTGCACAGTGACCGAGCAACTGATTCCTGAGTAATTTTAAAACTCAGATAATTTCCATTATTTGATTCACCAGTCTACTGCACTAACATTAGTGGTGGCTAAATTCAAAGAGCTCCAGCTAGACASGCTGGATTTCACCTGTTGTCACTGGAGCTGTAGGGTGAGCCATTGAAGTGTAAACTGGCCATGAAAGTACATCYTTAGTGCTAAGGTGGTCAGTGTAAGTAGAATCCCAGCTGAGYGAGCATTCAGCCTGTTTATTCATAGCTCAGTCTGCCTTCTCTTGCAAGCCTTATTCATCATACACTGTCAGCTTCTGCAACAGATGAGACAAACAACAGCTTCTTGCACTATTTCACCCCAGAGCAGGTCAGACAAGGCATTAAGTGGCACTTTATTGGAAGAAGCAAAACAGAGTGAGACTGACTGACTCGAGAGAGATGAGTTTGACAGTGGCTTTGCTCCAAGTGTTTAGTTTGTAAACTCAGTGCCAAAATTTCCACCAAAACCAGTGTGCAATGTACATGTTTACAATGTATTCACAACCCTTTGCAAGTTGGTAGATGGCAAAGAGAAATATGGTTCCATGGCTTATGGAAGTGAGCTGGATTTCAAGCTCTGCCACCCACCTGTTCTCCAAATGACTTTTGGCAAGGCTCAGTTTCCCTGTGCTTCAAGTGTCCTACCTACTCAATGAGAAGAATATATTATTGGTTTGAGGATAATAAATTCATGTTAGTGAGACACCTGAGTGCCAGAGGGATTGAAGTAGTTCTCGGAACAGCTCAGCTGTGTGCACATAAATGGCAGTGAACTGCAGAGTCATAACTCTGTAATTGTGCTTCCCAGAACACTGGGGATGGTCACAGATGCTGTAAGCACCATTCCAGTGTTTTCTGGCCAGGGAGTACTTGTTGGAGAAGCCTGAAGTGTGCTGAAAGCTACACAATGCATGTCAGAATCATCTATGACCTAATGACCAAATTGTGGYTTGGCAGTAATAACTTGTTCTCGGCAGATACAGTTTGTTAAGTTGTCCTGATTACTCAAAGCTTTATTTTCTTCCYCACAGTTAATTCTTGTCTCCAGTTCAAACTCTTCTTGATGTAAAATGCATGGACACCTTTCCTTCATCAATTGGTATTATGTATTTCTCACTATAGCCTGTTTATGAGATTACTAAGTGRTCATCAGTGCTGTAAATCACAGATGGGATAAATACCAGTATCAATGGCTGATTTAATTCCCAGCATGTTTTTAAGTTCAGTGGTGTTGCACAAGAGTCATACTGTGTCCCACAGGTTACAAGTAATGACATAACTGCCAGAGAGAAATGGAGTAAAATGAATAATATTATTAATGTTAAATACTTTTAAAAAGTAAATGCAATAAGACCATCTAAGTAAGCTTCTAATGGACGAATTTGACTGTTGAAGAGATAATTTTTAAATTATAGGTTGACCGATCTATCTAAATATTTCTGAGGTCATCCTGAAATGGCTCTGACTTATGTATATGACTAACACCAAAGCCAGGCAGTTACTCTGAATTTGATTCAAGACTACACATCAGGTATTCTCACATGTTTTGGTAACTGTAGTGCTTGCTTTCTCTGGGCAAATGTTTGAGCTATCAAAAATGAGCACAAAATATAGCCTGGCTAATCCCTAAACCTGATTACTCTTCATCATCACTACCCCGTGGATCAGCTGACAATCTTTGTTGCCCAGTCTTAGGACATTTGATGGAAAATCAGAACAGAAATCCAACTTTATCCTAAAATTGTGCAAGAACAAAACACTGTTACATGTGATCTAGAGATTTTTAAGTCATGTTTTTAAAGTAGTCGCTTACTCATARGATTTAATTTCTGTTGCTCGTGAGCTGACTGAATTCTCTGCAAACATGATACATCAGTCATGTCCCTTGACTACTACAAAGCTGCATGCAGGTTACTGCAGCGACAGCATTTTAATTTCACTGAAAGAGCTGGTGAACAAAATCATTTACAATGCGGCACTAAACACATGCGTGTCCAGCATCGACACGGCACAYCAGACCTTTTGCCGAAAATGGTTGGATTTAGATCGTATTCAGAACTACTTCTCTGTCCTAAGTATTTTCCATTTATACAGTTAAATTTCCCTCTGCTACCTGTGGTTGCTACTACTAAAGCACAAGCTGAAAAAGCACACTGGAAATGTGGAAAATATTGCTGTTACCCTGACACAATGACACATTTTGCTTCATAACCAACACAATGAGGTTCAACAAGACCAAGTGCTGGGTCCTACACTTCGGCCRCRACTCCATGCAGTGCTACAGGCTGGGAGAAGAGTGATTGGGAACCAGTGGAAAAGGTGCTTGTCAGCAGATGAACATGAGCCAGTTGTGCCCAGGTGGCCGAGAATGCCAATGGCACCTTGGCCTGGATTGGGAATAGTGTGGCCAGCAGGAGCAGGGCAGGGATTTTCCCCTGTATTCGGCAGTGGTGAGGTCTCACCTTGAGTGCAGTGTTCAGTTTTGGGCCCCTCACTACAGGAAGGACATTGAGGGGCTGGAGCGTGTCCAGAGAAGGGCAATGGAGCTGGTGAAGGGTCTGGAGCACAAGTGCTATGGAGTAGCTGAGGGAGCTGGAGGTGTTTAGCCTGGAGGAGGCTCAAGGGAGAACTAAATTGCTCTCTACAATTGGCAGAAAGGAGGGTGTAGCCAGGTGGGGGTTGGCCTCTTCTTCGAAGGAACAGAACAGGACAAGAGCAAAATGCCTTCACGCTGTGCCAGAGGTGGTTCAGGTTGGACATAAGGAGGAATTTTTTCACAGAAAGGGTGATTAGACATTGAGGTGGGCTGTGCAGGAAGGTGGTCGAGTCACTGTCCCTGTGYTTAAGGACAGACTGATGAGGCAGTGAGTGCCATGGTCTAGTTGACACGGTGGTGCTCGGTYACAGGTTGGCCTCGGTGATCCTGGRGGTCTCTTCCAAGCTAASGGATTCYGTGATTCTGTGTTACTGCGATTTCGAGCCCGCAGCGCTCGGCAGGGCAGGACCAGCCGTGTGCCGGCGCTGCAAGCCGCTCACTGAAGACGAGCTGGCGCCGTATCGCGCTCTCTGCCGAACGCTCTCTGCGCCTCTCCCTCCCGCCGCCCCGGCGGAGCGCGGCCCCGTGTCCCCCCGGGCTCGCCGTAGCTCCCCCGCCCCC